TTGGGGTGGTCTGGTAGGTAGTCACGACTGCAGTGGTTATCGAGCATGGGACCCTGTCTGCCGCGCCCCCTCGCCCAGGGCGGGGGCCCTTGGAAGCCCGTCCGGAGACCGGCGCCGGGCCCTCCGCGCTGGGGCCCGGCCCCACGGTCTCGGGTCGTGGGAGTCCCGCCCCGGCTGCCCTGCTCTCCGTGGCCAGGGTATCGGCGCGACCCTGCCTTCGGCTGCGGTCTACACCTTAGGCGATGCTTACGAAAACTTAAGTTTTCGGCCAGAGTCTCGATTATTCTTAATGTTTCAATGTAAATCCCAAGATTTCAATAGAAATGTTGGGTTTTTTTATTCAAGTTCTGAGACTATGAATTTCTTAACCCATGATTTCTTAAGCATTTCGCAGGGTGTACAGGGGCCCGTGCTGGGGAGATCTGGGCACCCCGCAGTTTTCGCCGGGATTCTTCATGAGCCTGGTATGCGACGTTGCTCGTGTGGCGTGAGACGTAGCAGCGCTCGGGCGCCTGGAAGGTGCCTGTGTTTCGCCTCTCCACTGAGCGCGCCAGTCTGCGCCTTGTTGCACACGTGCTCTGCCATTCGGTCGCTTGTAGGAGGCAGCCACTGGCTCCCAGCCAGGTTGCGTGATCATGGAAGGCTCTGCACGACCGCTGCGCCCACTGCGGAGCACGAGTAACGTTATTGCATCGATGTACCGACTGTCCAATCTCGGCGCCGTGCAGCGCGAGGGTTGCCTTGAGGACGTAGAGCGACCTACCAGCTGTGCTCAGGGCGTGAGAATGATCTCTGCAGCGAGGTGTTTAGTATTGCCCGTTGCCCTCTTCCAGGTTCTGCTTCCCTCACCGCGAAGCTACAGAAGAGAACTTGTTACTCTTCGTTGGGCTTTTTCCAGGATGGAAGTTTTCGGGAAACGTCTTCGTTGACGGAAGTGTTTTTTAACACAGCCCACGCCAGCCGGAGTAGAGCGGGATCGGCGGTGGTATCTATCGACCGTGTTGGGCAGCTCACAGTTGCAATGTATTGGGCAAGTCCCCTGTCTTGCGCCCCGTACCAAGTAGCTAGAGATGGTGGAGACTACGCCTTTTTCCCTACTACCTAGGCTCTGCCTAGAAGGGTTCTTACTCGGTTTACTTAAAGGACCGGGCAGTGTTCCTCGCCCCGGGCGGTTCCCCCTGCATCCGCCCCGCGGTTCCCCCAGTTGCGCCCCCTGGGTTCACCCAGCTTAGCTTAGCTAAGCTTTGCTTAGCTTTGCCTAGCCTGGCTTAGCTTAGCTTAGCTTAGCTTATCTCATCTTAGTTTAGCTTAGCTTTGCCTAGCCTAGCTTAGTTTAGCTTAGCTTAGCTCAGCTTAGCTTAGCTTAGTTTATCTCCTACCAGCTTAGCCTAGCCGAGCCTAGCTTAGCTTAGCTTAGCATAGCTCAGCTTAGCCTAGCTTAGCTTAGCTTAGCCTAGCCGAGCGTAGCTTAGCGTAGCTTAGCTTAGCTTTAGCATAGCTTAGCTTACCTTAGCTTAGCGCAGCGCAGCATAGCGCAGCGCAGCATAGCGCAGCGCAGCATAGCGCAGCGCAGCATTCGCACAGCATAGCATAGCATAACCAAGCATAGCATAGCATAGCCACGCATAGCATAGCATTGCTTAGCATGGCACAGCGCAGCATAGCATAGCACGTCATAGCATAGCATATCATAGCATATCATAGCATAACATAGCTTAGCATAGCGCAGCATAGCATATCATAGCATAGTATAGTATAGCATAGCGCAGCATAGCATTTCATAGCGTAGCCTAGCATAACATAGCATAGTGCAGCATCGCATCGCATAGCATAGCGCATCATAGCATAGCATAGCGTAGCATAGCGGAGCATAGCATAGCATAGCATAGTCTAGCCTAACCTAGATGTAGATGTTGCTGTCCTAAATGCTCCAACTCCTAGGTTGGGTCGCACTGGGATAATTAGTGCTCAGTCGATTTTCGGAGTGGGACCCTGAAGATCCCGAGAGGTTTTTTGCGACTGCCTCAGGACCACAGGATGCGCCACCAAACGTTGGTGAGGTCTTCAGTCATGACAAGCCTAGGCAGCACCTCTGGCAGAAGTGGTGGTCTGGCAGTGGCCGCCAGGCCCAAGTCCACAAAGTGAGATTCCACACTTCTGAACCAGCTATTTCGACCGATTACGACGTGCGAGCTGTTCGCGGTTGCTTTGGGGGATCCTTGCGCATTGGCCTCTATTTGTTTCAGGCTGCGAGCAAATTGCTAGAGAGTGTGATATGTGGCATGGCCGAGCCCAGACTGCTTTCGGATCCTTCGAGCAGCCCGATTCGGATGGTATTGCCGGCATCGCGGACATTCAATTCGACGATCGATATTCCCAGGATTTGTTGGAGGCTGCGAAGAGGCAGGTGTTCAACCTTTCGAGCGGGATTTTGGGCGCGGAAGGGACCTCGGCGCCATCCCTCCCTCCGCCTCCACCTGATCCTCAAGGCTCCCGCGCTTTCGCTGGGCTGCCGTGGACTCTCCGTGGACACTTGGTGGTCCAGGGTCCTGTGCAAGCGGAGTCGGGGGAGATGCTATTCGATCGACTCTTCTGCGAGTCGTGTGGGGGGCATCGGTGCATTTAGCTGCACGGGGCCTCCTTGGCCGAGTGTCAAGGCACAGACCATCCGGGCCTCAAGGCACAACGATCGAGGCTACGCCGTGGCCTGTTCCCCAGGCCGCAATGTGGGAAGGGCCACTATCGACCGCGCGGTCGGGCCGTCGATTGCGATTCGTGTTGTCCGGGGTCCTCTGCTTCAGCGCGGGGGGGTGAACCTGACAGCGTGGCGGTAGGGCCATCCGCTGCGGCCGACGCGGTTGCGGAGCGGAGCTCCGGCTTGGTGAGCTTCCCTTGCTCTGACGCCTGGCGAGTCGCCCAATTGCACGGCTTTAGGTCCCCTGCGGCGCTGGTGGAGTTGGAAGTAACCCGACGCAGACGTGAGGGAGTATTGCATGTTGGGAGGAGGAGGCCAGAATAGGCTGAGCCCCCTCGTCGTGGCCAGCGTGCTAGGGTCCAGCGGACGGCCCGCATAATCAGGACCCTCAGGCCCCTTCTCTTCCTCGTCCTCCCTTCTCCTCCTTCTCCTCCTCCTCCTCCTCTTCCTGACCCTCTTCCTCCCCCTCGTTGTCCTCCTCCTCCTCCTCCTCCTCTGCCTCATCCTTCTCCTCCTCCTCCTCCTGCCTCCTCCTCCTCTTCCTCCTCCTCCTCTTCCTTCTCCTCTCCCCCTCTACCTCATCCTTCTCCTCCTCCTCCTCCTCCTCCTCCTCCTCCTTCTCCTCCTTCTCCTTCTCCTCTTCTCCTCCTCCTTACCCTCTTCCTTCCCACTACCCTCTCCCACTTGCTGCTTCCCCGCCCGATCCTTCCCTCCCTGGATGAGTAGGGGGAGGAGCAGGAGGAGGAGGAGGAGGAGGAGGAGGAGGAGGAGGAGGAGGAGGAGGGAGGAAGAGGAGGAGGAGGAGCAGGAGCATGAGCAGGAGAGGAGGAGGAGGAGGAGAAGGAGGAGGAGCAGGAGGAGAAAGAGGAGGAAGAGGAGGAGGAGGAGGAGCAGGAGCTGATGGAGAAGGAGGAGGAGGAGGAAAAGGAAAAGCCGGAGCAGGAGGAGGAGGGACCAGGAGCAGGAGGAGGAGGAGGAGGAGGAGGAGGAAGAGAGGGAAAGAGGAGGAAGAGAGGAGGAGGAGGAGAGGAGGAGGAGGAGGAGGAGACGAGGAGGAGGAGGTGGAGGAGGAGGAGGAGGAGGAGGAGGAGAGGGAGAGGGATCGCTAGCAGGAGGAGCACGAGGAGGACTGTTCTCCCCAGGCGCTGCTGCTCCCAGCTGCGAGCGGGGGAACGGGCACGGGGAGGACGATCCCGGGAGGGAGAGGCGGAGGCATAAAGAATGAGGCGGCGGCGGGAGCCCAGCCGTTCGCGGGGTTCGCGGCGAGGCGGCGCTCGCGGGCGGCAGCACCAGGAGGAGGAGGAGGAGGAGGAGTCCTCGGGATGATGATGATGATGATGATGATGATGATGATGATGATGATGATGATGATGATGACGATGATGATGATGATGATGATGATGATGATGATGATGATGATGATGATGATGATGATGATGATGATGATGATGATGATGATGATGAGATGATGATGCTGATGCTGATGCTGATGATGCTGCTGCTGATGATGATGATGATGATGATGATGATGATGATGATGATGATGATGATGATGATGATGATGATGATGATGATGATGATGATGATGATGATGATGATGGTGGTGGTGGTGGTGGTGGTGGTGGTGAGGAGGAGGAGGAGGAGGAGGGAGGGCCAGTGCACACCCAAGGCTCACCAACGATATCGCAATACACCAGCGCTCCATATGCCCTTTTTCGTAGGCCCCATGCAATGATTTATTATCACTGAGGGCGGTGCCCCGCTGAAAGAAACCGTTTGCAAGCCCAGAACGTGAAGCATAAAGCGTTTCCTCGGACTTCAATGCCGCGAATCACCGCTGCGTCATGACGAGCCTGAAGCGTGCCAGGAAATCCAGTATTGCGGCTTCAGCTCTGCGAGCGAACGTAACTATAGCGTTCTGCCAGTCCATCATCGTGCCAAAGCATCATTTCTGGGGCACTCGCCATTCTAACCCCTGAAACTGTTGAAAACTGTTAAGACGAATGTGCGCCCCTACACCCGTGAAGCGTCTGCAATTGTGTAAAACGGGTGTGCGAGGCGCTAATGCGAGAACCAGATTTTGAAAAAGCCCCGCCCTCCACACGTGATTTCCCCAGCTCATGGAACTCATGTGCGTGGCGCGCGAGCGAAAGCCACACTTTGAACACGGCCCGCCCGACCGATCTCTTGGGCCGTGTGCGGCAGGAGGCAGGGCTCCCCGGAGCAGACGGACGCGCCACCTCGTGGGCAGAGCCGGGCCAGAGCCAGGCGGGAGCGACCTCCGCCCGCCGCGGCGGCCCCACAGGACGAGGAGCCCGCCGAGGACCCGGGGCCCGAGGAGTACGACAGCGGGCTCGTGGCTCCCGAGGACGAAGAGGAAGAGGAGGGCGAGGAGCTCCACCGACGCCGATGCCGCCGACGTCGTCGTCGTCCTCGTGCGCTCCTCGGTCCTCGCCTCCCTCTCGTGCCGCCTCCCTCCGGCGACCTCCCCTCTTGCCTCCCGAGGCTCAGGGGCCCTGGGCTTCAGATGCCGCGAAGGCCGCCTCCGGCTGCTCCCTGGCGGGGCAGCCACCCTTGTCCGCTGGCTCGTTCTAGTGCCACTTGAGGCAGCCCTTTGCACAGAGGGCAGGGCCGTGCGCATTGAGCCTACCAGATCGCTGAGAGCTGTTGTGTCTCAGCTTGCGGCTTGATCATGAGTCATGTCCGCCCCCTCCTCATCATCATCATCATTGCTCCCATGACTCATGGCAGCTCCCTCGTGGTTGCGTGGTAGATGGGAGGCAGTATATAGGGTTGCAGGTGACGTCGGGGGTGATCGCAGAAGCCTGGGCAGAATGAATGCGCAAGGGTCTCATGAGAATGATGGTCTTCGAAGGCTGGGTAATAGGCTCGCCGACGCCCACGAACAGACATGGACGCCCGTGCACGATTTTGGTGGCCTCATCGATGCCAGGTTGGCAGCGCCCGAGTATACAAATCTTTTTGTGCGCAGCTGATTGGGGTACATCTACAATGGTCTGGTCGTGCATGGATTTGCTGGAGTTCCGCCCAGCCTCTGTTTACCACCTCACATATCGAAGACGCCTACGGCGAGTCACCGCCGCCTACTGCCTTTTGGAATCGCCCATATTGCCGAGCGTTGTGGCAAGAGATCTGCGAAGGTATCCGACAGTGTGTTTCCCCAGCCGTTGTGGAAATCCTTTGGGGAACGCGTGGGGGAGAGATGGCGGGGACGAGAGGGCCGCAGGAGGCCAAAAACATGTTTTTCCCATGGTTTTTCAAGGTTGTTGGGGTTCTCGTCTTTTCGGACCCCAGACGGCCCAAGAGGTCCCAAAGATCGTCCTCAGACGGCCCCAGAGGCTCCAAAAGGGCCCGAACACAGTCCAAGAGGGCCCCCCGAACGGCTCGTTCGGAGAGGTTGTGTTTGTGCATCGGGCGTCCCCTGTTAGCACGATCGTGCAGCACAGAGGGCAGTGCGGAGGACCAGGCTTGAATGTGAAGTTTTGTTTTTTTCCGCGTTGGCCGACATGTGCATTCTTGGATTTCCCTTGGGTCGTCATCCGCGCAGTCAGGTCTTTGCTGGCCTCTCTCGCCAACACGCTGGGTAGAAAGTCGGGTGAGGAGGTGGAGCGGCCAGCCTGATTGCCCGCCACATCTCCTCCTCCTCCTCCTCCTTCTCCTCCTCCTCCTCCTTCTCTTCGCAAGCACGGGTGGCCCAAGATATCATACTTTTGGGGGTCCGTGCTGGCCATGTGGTGCCCAGCCCATTGTCTTTGCGTGGCACTTGACGGATCCCCACCGCATGATTTTCGCGGTTGTCGGAGGTTGTTGATTTGGGATGGCAAGATTGGGCGAAGCCAAGTATAGTACTCAACAGGCGTGGTGTGACCGTACACAATGGAATATGTCCATTTGTTGTTAGCTTGGATTGTAGTTGGTGTGTGTGTGTGTCAGTTTCCTCTGCCATACATCAGCAGGTCGCACTCTGTGCTTGTTCAATGTACAAGACCGTGGCGGCAATTTCCGTGGCGGCCAGGCGGGGTGCAGGTTCCCATCTTCCAGCAATGGGCGCAGTTGGCCATCATTCTCAACGCTGAGGCCCGTTCTGGTCGTTCAGCTTCATTGCAGGTATCTCCCAGTGCCGCAAAGGGAGTGGTGCATATCTTTTGGCCATTCCACGCCCAGCTGGGGCCAGGCATCCTCAGCTATAGCGCTGGTACCTCCCATCTCTACTTGGGGAGGGTATTGCACTTTCTACGTGGTGTCGTTTTGCATGTGGATTCCATCTAGTTTGGGTCCCTTTATGGCGCTGGGCGTATCAGGGGGCGGGCAGTCATTCACAGTGTGCTCGGCCATCTGGTCAGCAAGGTACCGTGTATAGTGGCACGTTGTTCTTTCCAGTTTTTCGGGGTTACTCCAATCCCCTCGTTCTATACATGGCGCTTGCTTTTGTCAATCGCGTGAGTCCCGCCGTAAGACTAACGCGCTCGCTTCGGTGATTGCCAACGCACTACGGTTTTGACTGGGGGTGCATTTGGTTTGTCGCATGCGTCGACGGGTGATCACTCCCGCTGGGCTGGTATTCGTGGGACGCGGTGCGCAGTGCAGTGCGCGATTGGGTTAATGAACCGCGCTAGTTGGGTACGCACGGCGGGCAGCCTCTGCAAACAGCGTAAATATCGTTTCTTTTAGTGTCGACACGGCGGCCAGGCGCGAAAGCCTCGATTTATTCTGGTGAGTCGGACAGGCGACCCGCTCTCTTGTCTTCGACATGACTACGCCATCGGTTCCTCTCCCATCCCTCCTCATCGTCCTTGTGCTTCTGTCCTCGGTCGACGTGGGGTGTTTTCGGATGGATGGCCCCATGCAACACGCAGGAAAAAATACCTCCTCCTCCTGCCACCCCCCATCTTTTTCCTTACGAATAACTCAATAACTCTCCCCTGCCGCGCCCAAGGGCATATCGGTAGGGCGGGGCGGAGCGTTTCGCCTGAGATGCCCCCACCACCTGCGATTCTGTACACTTTACACCAACATCACGGCCGGAGGGATGGCTCCCCATTTTACTGTCTCAAAATGAGGTTATCACTCTAGAGCCGCGCGCATTTGTTGCAAAAGTTTGCAAGAGCTTCACGGATGGATGGCGGGTCCATTTCGCAATGTGGTTCTCGCATTAGGGCCAAAAGTGTGCAAAAGTTTGACGGGTGGGGGGCGGGTCTTTTCGAGCATGTGGCCCTCGCCTTCGCGCCGCGCGCAATCCGATGAAGAGTTTGCAGGGACTTCGCGGATGGAGGGCGGGTCGTTTTCAAAATATGGCTTTAACCTTGGCGCCGCGCACACCTGTTGTAAACATTCGCGTGGGTTCTACGGACGCAGTGTTTTTGTTCACAGTGTGGTTCCCGGTTCAGCGCCGCGCGCATTCGTTTTAAGTGGTGCCAAAAGTTCCAGGGGTGGAGGGGGGATCCTTTTTCATACTGTATCCCTCGCCTGCGTAACGCGCACATTCGTTGCAAAAGTTTGCAAAAGCTTCGTGGATGCATGGCGGGCCATTTTCAAACTGTGGTTGTCGCCCCAGTGCTGCGCGCCTGCGTTGTAAAAGTTTGCAGGAGTTGCAGGGATGGAGGGCGGGTCTGTTTTCACGATGGGGTTTCGCTCCAGCGCCATGCAAATTCCTTGTAACAGTTTGCAGGAGCTTCACGGATGGAATGCGGGTGCTTTTCACCATGTGGTTCTTGCGCACGCGCCGCACATGTTCGTTGTAGACGTGTGCAACGTTGCACGGCTACAGGGCCGTGTTTTTCACAATGTGGTTCTCACTTCAGCGCAGCGCACGTGTGCATTAAAGATTTGGAAGTGCTTCTCGGATGCAGTTCTAGTTGTTCCAAGCATTCGGTTCTCGCTTGTCGCCGCGCACGTTCGATATTAAAGTTTGCAGGAACTTCACGGATGGAGGGCGGCATCGTTTCAAAATGTGGTTCTCGCCCCAGCGCCGCGCGCATTCGTCACAACAATTTGCAACAGTTGCACAGATGGATGGCGCTTTTGTTCACAACGCGGTTCTCGCTCTATCGCCGCGCACATTGTTTGTAAACGTTTGCAAGAAATGCACGGATAGAGGGCGGGTCGTGTTCAAAATGCGTTTATCGATTTAGCGGCACGCTCATTCGTCTGAGCAGTGTGCAACACTTCCATGGCTTTTACGGCTGACGTCCCAGAATTTGTGTTCCAGCAGAACTAAGTATTCCCAAGGCGCAACAGTCACGTTCACTCGCGGTGTTGAACTTCCAGGAATTCTTTTCTGGAGTGATGCAGGATCGCCAGGACGCAGCAGTAAAGTTGATACGCGGCGTTGAAATCCGAGGGCTTCTGCACGCTTGAGGATTCACATGCGTTATTCTCTAACGGGGCATTTCCCGCAGTGAAAACACATTCTTGCACGGACGTATGATGAGGGAGCAGTGGGGGGGGAGTTTGTCGCAGCATCGTCTGAGCTGTGGGTTTACACTGGTCGTCCTTCTCCTCCTCCTTCTCCTGGTTATCCTTCTCCCCCTCCTTCTTCTTCCACTGCTCCTCCCTTTCGTCCTTCTCCTCCTCCTTCTCCTCCTCGTCCTCCTCCTCCTCCTCCTCCTCCTCCTCCTCCTCCTCCTCCTCCTCCTCCTTCTCCTCCTCGTCCCTGGGGGGCGCCGACCTCGCGGAGCGCCCGCGCCAGCCCCGCGTCACCGCAGGAAGAGGAGGAGGAGGACGAGGAGGCGGGGGCCGAGGGCGACGAGGCGCTTCCTCCCCGCGGGGCCGCCCTGGCGCTGCCCTCTCCTCCGACCCTCGAGCGTTTCCGCAACAGGGGGGGCCAGACATCCAGCGTCTCGAAAAAGATTGGAACGGAGGTTTTTCGTCGTCCCCCCCCCTCCTCCTCCTTCTCCTCCGCCTCCTCCTCCTCCTCCTCCTCCTCCTCCTCCTCCTCCTCCTCCTCCTCTTCCTCCGCCTCGTCCTCCTGTTTCGCCCCAACTGGGCCTGTGGACAGTCACAACATGATCTTGGATGCAGAACCGATCTTGGAGAAATGTTCGAGAGGTCGGTGGCCCGCACACAAAGAACATCGAAACCTTGGATGTCTGCGGGGGGGCGGCAGGCGGGGGGAGGGATAGCCGGGCCCACGAGGGGCCCCTTGGGACCCCGAAGGTGCACGACAGGAGCACGCACATTTCTTCACTCCTTGGTTTAGTGTTCCCCCCCTCCCCCCATGGAGCAGCGCCCGATCCACCTCCGATCCGTTTCCTCCCCGGGTGCTCTTGTCCGAATACCAGCTGCATTTTTGCACGTGCTTCGGACTGTGCGGCACGACTGGCTGGGGCGGTGCCGTGGAGACACGCGCACGGGTTGGGGACATGCATCCCTCGTCAGGCGGAGCTTGTGCCCGCGGCGGGAAGTGCTCCCCCCCCACGAGCGGTTCGCGCGGCCTCGCACCTCGCGGAGGTGGACGAGGCCGCCGCCCAGGCAGCTGGAAGGTCTCCATGGGGATCCGACCCGAGCCGCAGATGAGAAGCCGCCTCGCGTGGGAAGTCGGGCTGGCAAGCCGCGAGGGGCCGAGGCCTGGTGGAGCAATTGGCGCAGGCCCGGCATCCAGATGTGCCGTGGGGCTTGGGCGTCGCGTAATGGGGGGGTCATAAATGGGGGGTGGCGAGGGTGGTCCGAAAAGGTACCCAAATGGTACCTAAACGAGCCCCTTGAGGCTCTGGAGGGGCCCGAAAGGGGCACGAAAGGGGACCGTTTCTGACCCCGCCATTTGTGACCCCCCCATTAAGCCACGCCCAAGGGGCACGGCTTCAATTTCCGCGGCCCGCGCGCGATGCATTCGTTGGCTTCGGCTCTCGGACGGTTTGCTCGTCGGGCTGCACCACGTGGCGGTCGAGCTCAGAGTCCTCGCTTCGAATCCTCCTCTCTCCGCCGCCGCCCCCTCCGCAGGTGCTCCTCCTCATCCCACCTCCCCGTCCGCCTCCTCATCACTCTCCTCCTCCTCCTCCCTCCTCCTCCTCCCTCTCCTCCTCCTCCTCCCTCCTCCTCCTCCTCTCCTTCCTCCTCCTCCCTCCGTCACACTCCCCCCCTTCTTCTCCTCCTCCTCCTCCTCCTCCTCCTCCTCCTCCTCTCCTCCTCCTCCTCCTCCTCCTCCTCCTCCTCCTCTCCACACTCCCCCTTCTCCTCCTCCTCCTCCTCCTCCTCCTCCTCCTCCTCCTCCTCCCCCTCCTCCTCCTCCTTCTCCTGGACCGCTGGGCAGTCCGACCGCCCAGGTGCAGCCGCGTCGCGGGGCCGCTCTGCCGCTCTCGCACGCCCATGCCGCCGCCCTCGCTTGCTGGACGGGCCACGCCTGCCCCAGGTGCGAATCAAGGACGCACGCGCACACGGATCCACATTGGTTGCGAGAGTACGCATTGCGCGAACGTTCGTATCAGGCGGCTGGTCTCGAGGATCGGGGGACCGTGTTCATGTGCGTGGGTGGGCGCGCGTCCTTCGTGGGCTCCCTCCCTTGGGGTCGTCGACGGACTTCTATGGCCCGAGGCTGACCACGCTGCGGGCCCGCGGGCTGACCGAGGTATCAGGGTACCCTAGTGTTTTTCGTGTTTGTTGGATGCTCTTGTGCATCCTGGGGGAGGGTACCCTCGAATGCTCTTCAGTTTGACCGGGGGAGGGTCTCATGTTCTTGAAGGATGTTCTTCTGTCCCTAGGTCTGGCCGTACGGGCTGGCAGACCGTCAGCAGACAGTGCTTCGGGGGTGAAGGAGCTGTCCGTAGAGGCACGCCCTTCTCCGGGAAAATTGCGAGTTCGCAGCTTATATATTCAGGATGGTAACGGGGGCGGAGGGTCTGTCTATCAGGAGTGGCGCCCAAACTCAGGAGTGGCGCCAGGAGGAGGAGGATCAGGAGGAGGATCAGGAGGAGGATCAGGAAGAGGATCAGGAGGAGGAGGAGGAGGAGGAGGAGGAGGAAGAGAACGTTGACGAGGACCTGCAACCACTTGCGAATCCTATACCTGCGGGTCCACTTCGGCGCCGGGGCATCCGACACCCGCACGGGGGCCACCTGGCCTTGGACATCCTTCAGGTTCCGAGCCCGGCGTGTGTTTGAGCAGTCCGCGCGGCGCGGCCCGCCGGCTACCCGAACGCGTTGTGCGCTCGCCTTCGCCGCTGACCAAACAGTCTTCGTGGTCGTGACGGTCGTCACCGCCGTCGGGAACGTCACCGTTGTCGCAGTCTTCGCGGTCTTCGCGGCTGTCGTGGTCGTCGTGGTCGTTACGGTCGTCAGGATCGTCACAGTTTTTGAACAGTCTGATCTGCAGGGGCACAGTCAGGATCTTTGGGATAGCGCGTCGCTCCGCCGGTTCTGGCCCACCACGCTTCGGCGTGGCGCGTTATCCACTGCTGGGTCCTGAGGCGTCGATGTCCCGAGCTTTTCCCGACCACCCGCCCCGCGGAGCGGAGAGACATGGTACCAACTCGCAGGGCACAGCGTGTCGCTGGGGCCACCGCGGCGACACGCCAAGCAAGATCTCCCGCCCGCAGGCAGGATTCACATACGGTTGCCCAGATGATGACGAGGAGCAGGAAGAGGCGGCTGCCCAGGAGGAGGAGGAGGAGGAGGGAGAAGGGAGGAGGGAGGGAGGATGAAGGAGGAAGGAGGAAGGAGGAAGGATGAGGGATGATGATGATGATGATGATGATGATGATGATGATGATGAAGATGATGATGATGATGATGATGATGATGATGATGATGATGATGATGATGATGATGATGATGATGATGATGATGATGATGATGATGATGATGATGATGATGATGATGATGATGATGATGATGATGAATGATGGTGATGATGATGATGATGATGATGATGATGATGATGATGATGATGATGATGATGATGATGCTGCTGCTGCTGATGCTGATGCTGATGCTGCTGCTGATGCTGATGCTGATGCTGATGCTGATGCTGATGCTGATGCTGATGAAGATGATGGTGATGATGAGGAGGAGGAGGAGGATGGTGATGGTGTTGATAAGGATGATGAGGATGATGGGGATGATGAGGATGATGAGGAGGAGGAGGAGGAGGGACGAGGGAGAACTTGAGGGCGTTGGGAGGTCTGAAGGAGTTGGAGGAGGAGAGTTTGAGGAGGAGAGGGGATGACAAGCTAGGTGCGCTCGCGTCATATCTGACGTCCTACCCCTCCCGCCCATCCCTTACCATGCGTAGATCTCCTCTCTATTCGCACAGTCGCATGTCGAGCAGGGCAATTATCGCGAGAGGGTGCGCGATGCATCGTAGAGCACGGCATAGCAAGGCGTAGAAGAGCACGGCAGAGCGTAGCATGCTATAGCATGGCGTGGCGTTGCGTAGTGAAGAATTGCGTAACAAAGCATTGCAACGCAAATGATTCACCAGCCTCGAACGTATCCCTATCCCTAAAATTGACGCGCTAAAAGGAGATGACAATCTCAGGGATACACCCTCATAAACTGAGGAAAACCCATGGAAACACCCTCAGAAACTGATGAAATCCCTAAGATCGCCATCGTGATGAGGCGATGCCCAACATAGGGATAGGGATATGTTCCAGGCTGGTAAATGATGGCATCGCACAGCGGCACAGAACACAACACCGCACAGCATGTCATGGCATGGCGCCGGGTCCCTTGGAGGGTAAGTGGATCGTCTTCGAGAGGTCTGGGCCAGTCTAGGCGGGGCTGATGGAGAGCACCCGCTGGTTCTGTTTTCAACATCGCCTTCTCAACGTAGAAACGGAGATCCCGCTTGATACTGCTTGAAAACGACGACGCCACAAAGTGGGGGAGAGGGGCTTCTGCGGCCCACAGCATCAACGAATCGACACCGAATATGTAATCACTTCCAATGGTTTTTTCGGGGGCCATTTTCCAGATTCTGGGGCATGGCATCGCACAGCGGAACACCACATGGCATTGCATTGCACGCCGTGGCATGGAACTGGAAATAATGACGCCAGCGCTGCAGCGGGAGCACGATTCGGAACGAGCGGAAGCGCAGAATGAGGTCAGCGCTGCAGCGGGAGCACGATTCGGAACGAGCAGAAGTGCGGAAATGAGGCCAGCGCTAGAACGGGAGCACCATTCGGAACGAGCGGAAGCCCGAAAATGAAGCCAGCGCTGCAGCGGGAGCAGCATTTGAAAGACAAGCCCAAGCAAAAACCCAGCTCCCTGGAATCCTGCGTGTAGAAGACAGTGCGCGGAGGGGGGGGGGCCGGACGTATCCAGGGGAGAGAGGAGAGTAGCATTCATGTAGTGTAATTGTGGATGGGGGGAGGAGGAGGAGGAGGAGGAGGAGGAGGAGGAGGAGGAGGAGGAGAAGGAGGAGGTGGAGGAGGCCCCGTTGGCGACCCCTCTTCCGTCCATGGCCGCGGAGGCGGCGGATGGCGACAAGGCCACCGCGGACGAGGTGCGCGCCAGCGAGGGCCTCATCTACACTGCGAAGGAGGCCACGGGGCGCCGGCGGTGGTCGCGGTTGACCTTCCTCGCCTCCAGGGCGCTCCTCCTTCGCCTCCGCAGCCCTTATCCTCATCTCCCTCGTCCTCCTGATCCTCCCTCCCCCTTCCTCCTCCTTCCTACTCCTTCCTCCTCCCCCCTGCCTTCCACCCTCCTCCCCCCCGGCCCTCCCTCCCGCCGTCCCTTCCGCATTCTCCTCTCCTCACTCCCTCCTCCTCCTCCTCCCGGATTATCTTCGGGTCTTCGGGGGCCATTCTTCAACATGGAAATGATATACAGTGAAGATTTGCATGACCCTGTGCACCAGGATGACACGCACAAGTCGAGAGTTGGAGAACATGCGTTCAAGGACGTTGCCTCCTCTTTCTCTTTCTCATTCTCCTCCTCCTGCTTCTCCTCCTCCTCCTCCTTCTTCTGTTCCTCCTCCCTTCTCATCATCTTCCTCCTCCTTGGAGGCCTGTAGGTTGGTACCAATACGTGCCAAGGCAAGGGAGCGTCTCCGCTGGGGAAAGATGATCCTGGATCTGGGCGTTGGTGGTAATATCTTGACCCTGAAGAAGCCCGAATATTCCCAGTGTCGCCGAGATTCGGGATCATCTTCCCTTGGTGGAGGCAAGCGCCGGCATGGTGTTCGTTGCCAACCACCGAGCATCGCTCCTTATTCACCTCAACTATCTTCTCCTCTTCTCCTCGCTCTTCTCCTCATTTCTTCCTCCTTCTCCTCCTCCTCTCCTTGCTGCGTCTTGTTCTCTAGCTGCGCTAAAGCTAGAATGAAGACCAAGGCATGGCCTCATGATGCGAGTTCACTGTCGCACACGCGATACTCTTATATATATATATATATATATATATACATATAGATATACCAGATATATGACCTCGTGTAATACAGAAGTACCATATAGCGCTGCTTTCGTTCCGACCGCACTTCCAGGAGCGGCCTGAATTATTCCTCCTCCTCCTCCTCCTCCTCCTCCTCCTCCTCCTCCTTCTCCTCCCTCTTCTCTTCTGCATCCCGTCGCTCTGTCACTCCTTCCCTCTGCAGAGGTCTCGCGGAGAGGTCTCCAGAGACCGCCGGGTGGACTTCTGACCTCCCAGAGATCCGAGGAGACCTCCAGACCCGCGGGGACGTCATGGAGACCCCAGACAGTTGAGGCGTTCCAGAGAGAACCTTGCCTTCGAGGATCAACGGAGTTGGCATCTCTTCCTCGGCGGAAGGCGGCGGCAGGTAAGCGGAAGCCCGCAAAGGAAGACGAGGTCGCCTCCGCCGGCGGAAGCCGGCGGAAGCAGGTAAATGCGTCCCCAAGAGACGGCAACCTTTTGGCTTCAGGGTCTCGGGAACCCGCCATTTGACGTCGGGATGTTGTGTGGCTCCTCTATATGCGTGTCCGCACCATAGGAGTTTTGGGAATCCATAATCCACGACTCGCAAGAGCAACATAACTTCGCAACACCGCCCAGCACAGCCCAGCACCGCGCACCACCGCGCACCACCGCACGCTTGGGTCGTCTCTGTCCTCTTCCTCCTCCTCCTCCTCCTTCTCCTCCTCCTCCTCTTCATCTGGCCCCTCGTGCGCCCTCAGCCTATCAGCCCCTTAACCAATCTGCCACCCAGGTCCCAGCGGACGGTCACAGTCCGCAGTCGAGGGAGGGAAAACCACCGACCTTCATAAGCGGCAGTTGCGAAACAGTCTTGCGCATTTGCTAAGCTGTCCGGCTCGATTCCTTCCTTGGTAGCGTTTGCGGAAGGGCCTCCCATTGTCAGAGCGCCCCGTGCACGGCTGCGACCACAAGCCCACGAGCCTTGGGTCATCCGCGGGGGCGTTCCTGCGCTTGCTAATGGCGGTCATCCTTCTGGGGCCGCGGGAAGGTCAGCTCAATTCCTCTGATTCTCCCTGGCCCCCACTGGCCCCCAGAAGTGTGAGCCCCATGATCCAGCGCGTGGAAGCGCGGAGCGAACCGTGCCCTCCGTGGCCAAGGCTGGCTCGAGTCGGCCTTCTTTTTGGCCTGCGGGTGCGAGAGCCGCTTGCCGCGCACCGCGCGGCGCACGGGCTCGAAGCTCTGCGGTCAGGAGCTTTGGCTCCGCGTGTCTCGCCGCCGACTCCGGCCCTCCACGCCCCGGCGCGGCACGCGAAACCACCTCCCAGTCCCCGAGCGTCAACCGATGGGCCTGTGTTCCACCACCACCACCACCACAAGTTGGACGGGGGAAGGAGGTGGAGGATGATGAGGAGGAGGACGAAGAAGAGGGGGAGGAGGACCCCCTCCCCCCCTTTAACTTGATGGTGGTGGTGGTGGTGGAAAACAGGCCCATCATCAGCGCCCCGAGCCTTTCTCCCCGTCCCCCGTCCCGCGGCGCGGAGCAACACGCCATGCTTGCGTGGCGCAGCGTGTCGCCGGGGCCGCCGCCGCGGCACGCCGAGCAAGGATCCCCGACCGCAAGGGCTGGTGTTCTGGGAGGGGCCTCGCTTTCGAGGGAGCGAGGTGCCGTCATCCCTCCCTCGGCGGACCCCGAGACGCATAATTTTTGACGGGGCGAGCTCACCCTGGTGTGGGCCCCCCCGGACCCTCACGGCTGGATCTGGCTCGAGACGTGCGGCAGAACGATGGGGTTTGGGGCCCTGGTCGTGAGTTTTCGCCGTGCCGTGTTTTTGCTCGACGTCGGCTCCTGGGGGAGGGCGGCGAGAGTAAATCGGGGGCGGCTCCGCCGGCGGAAGTTGGCGGAAGTCAACGTCGGCCCTCCGGGAGGTGGCATGCTTGGGGGCACTCAGGATTTCTGTATGGTCTCAACCCCTGGGGCGCGGAGCGATCTAGCGATCCTCCTCCTCCTCCTCCTCCTCCTCCTCCTCCTCCGCCTCCTCCCCCCCCATCCTCCTCCTCCTCATCCTCCTCCTCCTCCTCCTCCTCCTTCTCCTCTTCCTCTTCATCGTCCTCCTCCTCCTCTCTTGAGACCGCCCCGGGCTACTCGGGGGGCCTGTTGGGGCCAGCCGGGAATACCTGGGGGGGGGGGGGGCTGTCCGCGCGCAGCCCGAGCAGACATGCGATGTCCTGATTTTTTGATGCGCTGTCTCTGGAAGTCCTGACCATTTCCCAGGGACGGATTTTTCGTCCCGATTAGTTTTTTGAAACCGTCCCGAGGCACGGCCAGCCATCCGAGAGTCCGAAAATGGCCAGGCAACAATCCCGTCGTGATGTTTCCACGGCGCGAGCATGTCTGGGGAGCCTTGCTTGGTGCCCCAGGATCGGTCTCCATGCAGTCAGGGCGCTGAGATACGGACCGCTCTGGGCCCAGCAGGGGCCCTGGTGTCGCAGGCGATGTTTCTATCCCAACCCCAGACTTTTCGGCGAAACATGGAGCGGCTCAGAAAGGAGGGAAACCCTGGGATACACCCCCATGGAGCTATTCGGACGCACCTCTATCGAGGATGGACGCCCCCCCTCGTATATCCCAGGGTTGGGCCCCAATTTTTTTGGTCCATTCGGAACCCCCACGAAGCCTGGGATAGGGATCGACATATCCCTTGTTATGGGGTCTGGGCCGTTCCCTGGATTTCGTGACCGAGGCTCGCCGCGGCCAACTCTCGGACGAGACGTGCGGCCTGCCCTGCCGACCCGTCTCGGGGTGCAGCAGGGACGAGTTATCTAGGAGGGAGAAGGACAGGAGGCGGAGGAGGAGGCGGAGGAGGAGGAGGAGGAGGAGGAGGAGGAGGAGGCGGAGGAGGAGGAGGAGGAGGAGGAGCGAGGGAGAAGGAGGAGGAGGAGGCGGAGGAGGAGGAGGAGGAGGCAACGACCTGGGAGGTCAGGTTCGAGATGTGATGCTTTCGGGCCAGAGGCAACGGCCTGGGAGGTCAGGTTCGAGATGTGATGCTTTCGGGCGTTGTCGCCGGTGCTCCGTGGCTTTCCAGCCTCGGGGCGCCTTTCAGCGGCTCGCCTCGCCGAGAGCGTTCCAGTGGTGCCCGAATCGTCCCGAACGTCCGCCGGAGAGCCGGGCTATGACCCGAAAGCCAGGCGGCAACGTCAGGGAGGATAGGCTCAGGGGGGGACGCATCGACCCCCAATCGCCCGTTCATCGCCGACGGGGGCCAGATAGCCCACCCCGACCAGGAACATGCGGTTCCGCAATCGGGGGGCCCATCGCCGATCTATTGGCGATGCAAAGCCGATTCACTCTCGGTGTTCCCCCCCCCCCCCCCCCCCGAGCTGGTCCCCCCTCCATCGCTCCCACTCCAGAGGAGGAGGAGGAGGAGGAGGAGGAGGAGGAAGAGGAGGAGGAGGAGGAGGAGGAGCGACATCTCGAGTGTTCGAGTACCGCCCCAGATCCTGACTCCCAGATGTCCCCAAGTGTCCCGCAGGGGTCGGAGCAGGGCCAGCGTAACGCCTGATCGGTCCCGGGCGGGTCCCGAAACAGAAAACTGGAATAGACATGCACGGTTACAATAACAAGATCGCCACGAAACAAGATTCAGGAACATGGCACCGCAATCCAGGAACCAATCGGTCCGTCCATTGCCGCCTTGGCCTCCCGCGCCGCCATCCAAGGCCTTGGAACCCAAACCATTCAACAACCTAGATCTTCGATTGCCGCGGTCAGAGCTTCGCCCCAGATCTTGACTCCCAGATGCCCCCGGGGGGTGGCCCGCAGGGGTTGGAGCAGGGCCAGAACCATTCAGAGTCCTGAACTTTCGATCGCCGTGGTCAGGGCCGCCCCAGATCATGACTCACAGGCGCCCCCAGGTGGCGAGCCAGGCCAGAACCATCCACAGCCCCCGCGCTCGAGCTCGGCGTCACCGATGTTCGCGCACGTCGCGTCCTTCTCTCGATCTCCTCCCCCTCCTCCTTTTCTTCCTCATCCTCCTCCTCCTCCTCCTCCTCCTCCTCCTCATCATCATCATCATCATCATCATCATCATAATCATCATCAGCATCACCATCCTCATCCTCATCCTCCTCCTGCTCCTCCTCCTCCTCCTCCTCCTCCAACTCCTCCTCCTCCTCCTCCTCCTCCACTTCCTCCTCCTCGGCCTCCTCTTCCTCTTCTCGGCCTCCTCCCTCCCTCCTCGAAATCCTCCTCCTACTCCTCGTCCTGGATCTTCGATCGCCGTGGTCGAAGTTTCGCCGTGGGCTCGGGCGGCTTGGAGGGGTCTCAGCAGCCCGGCTCTCCGCATTGCCTCCCGAGCGCCGCCGCGGGAGCCGCGGCGCTTCGAGGAGGCCATCTGTCGGAAGCTGGAGCATAGGCATGACCAGCTGCGGGCTGCTTTTCAATCCCAGGACATTTTGAGGGTCGGGGACGACGTCGGGGTGCTGTGGTGTATACTTTTCTTCGTTTTCCCCTGGAGGCGACGAGCAATGCATACACCAGGATACCGTATACACCAGGATCTGCCTTTTTGTGCAGAGTTCAGTGCAGGGCCGGAAAGAGCGTCGGTGTATATAGAGTGCGGTTCCCGCGCAGGTCAACGACCAGGTGTTCGAAGAGCTGCGGCTGCCTGGGGGCCTCGCGGAGGACGCTTGGAGGAGGAGGAGGAGGAGGAGGAGGAGGAGGAGGAGGAGGAGGAGGAGGTCAGAGGAGGAAGATTACCGACATTGTTACCTTTCGCCCTCGTCGCCACTGCAGGGTTCTCCTCGAGATATTGGTCAGAGCGCACCTCCTGGAGAGGTCCGGGGAGTAGCGGTATCGGTAACTTATGGCTTCCCCTGGAGAAGGAGGAGCAGGAGGAGGAGGATGAGGAGGAGGAGACGAAGGAGGAGGGTCGACGCCTCCCAGATGGGGTCCCAGTGGATGGGGTCGGAGGGTCGCGCCGCATCGGCGATGCATCGGCGATGCGGATCGATGGGAATCCTGAGTTTCTCCACGCCGACGCCTCCGATGCACTGCCCACGTCGCCGATGCATCGGCGATGCGGCGTGATCCTCCGACCCCATCCACTCGGACCCCATCTGGGAGGCCTCTAGAGGAGGAGGAGGCGGAGGAGGTGGAGGAGGATGGTCCCCTGACCTCGGATCCACGTGCTTGGGGCGATTTCGCAAGTAGGGCAGAAATTCCCACACTACTTTTCGAGCTCCCTTGATGCCGACGTCTGCCCCACTTTGCCGTCCTTGTTCTGCCATACTCTTGCAGCAAACTCCGCCATATTCTTCTCAGGTGCAAGTGTCCGCCTTACCTGTTCGCATCGTTAGGGGTGCACTTCCGACACCATCTGGAGTCGGAACATCGACAAGGATAGGGCGGATCCGAAGTCAGGCGAGGAGTAGGAGGATAATGATGATGATGATGAGGAGGAGGAGGAGGAGGAGAAGGAGGAGGACGAGGACGAGGACGAGGAAACGAGGAGGAGGGGAAGAGGAGGAAGAGGAGGAGGAGGGAAGGAGAGAAGGAGGCAGGGAAGGAGGGAGGGAGGAGGGAGGGAGGGAGAGGAGGGAGGGAGGGAGGGAGAGAGGAGGAGAGAGGAGGGAGGAGGAGGAGGCTGAGGAGGAGGAGGCGGAGGTGGAGGGGGAGGAGGAGGAGGAGGAGGAGGAGGAGGAGGAGGAGGAGGAGGAGAAGAATGAGGAAGAGGAGAACGAAGAGAAGGACGAGGAGGAGGAGGAGGAAGAGGCAGAGAGCAGGAGGAGGAGGAGGAGGAGGAGGAGGAGGAGGAGGAGGCGGATGACGAGCAGTAGGAGGAGGAGGTGGATGAGGATGAGGAGGATGAGGATGAGGATTATGATGCTGCTGCTGATGACGATGACGATGACGATGATGATGATGATGATGATGATGATGATGATGATGATGATGATGATGCTGATTATGATTGTGATGCTGATGCTGCTCATGCTGCTGATGATGATGCTGATTATGCTGCTGCTGGTGATGCTGATGATGATGGTGATGATGAGGATGGTGACGCTGATGATGATGGTGCTGCTGCTGATGCTGCTGATGATGATGCTGAGGAGAAGGATTCGGATGATGTTAATGATGGTGATGCTAACGCTGATGCTGATGCAGCTAATGGTGATGCTGCTGACGATGATGATGAGGAGGAGGATGAGGATGATGGTGGTGGTGCTGATTACGATGATCATGATGGTGGTGATGATGACGATGATGATGATGCTGATGATGCTGCTGCTGATGATGATGATCATGATGATGCTGATGATGATGATGCTGATGCTGATGATGTGCTGATTGATGATGATGATGATGATGATGATGATGATGATGATGATGATGATGATGATGATGATGATGATGATGATGCTGATGATGATGATGATGATGATGATGATGATGATGATGATGATGGTGGTGGTGGTGGTGGTGGTGGTGGTGATGATGATGAGGAGGAGGAGGAGGAGAAGCAGAGGGAGGAGGAGGATGAGGAGGTAGAAACGAGTAGGATGGGGAAGAGAGGAGGAGGAGGAGGAGGAGGCGGAGGAGGAGGAGGAGGAGTAGGAGGTGGAGGAGGGGAGAGGAGGAGGAGGTGGAGGAGGAGGAGGAGGAGGAGGCGGAGGAGGAGGAGGGGGAGGAGGAGGAGGAGGCGGAGGAGGAGGGGGAGGTGGAGGAGGAGGAGGACGACGACGAGGAGGAGGAGGAGGGCTAGGAGGAAGAGGAGGAGGAGGAGGAGAGGAGGAGGAGGAGGAGGAGGCGGAGGGGAGGAGGGATGAGGGAGGAGGGAGGAGGGAGGTGGCAGGAGGCAGGCGGCAGGAGGAGGCAGGAGGAGGAGGGGGAGGGAGAAGGAGAAGGGGGGAGGGGAGGGGGCGGAGGGGGAGGGAGGAGGGGGGGAGGGAGGAGGGAGCAGGGAGGAGGGAGGAGGGAGGAGGGAAGAGCAGGAGGAGAGGCGGAGGAGGCGGAGGCGGCCGAGGAGGAGGAGGAGGAGGAAGAGGAGGAGGAGGAGGAGGAGGAGGAGGAGGAGGAGGAGGAGGAGGAGGAGGAGGGAGGAGGAGGGGAGGAGGAGGAGGAAGAGGAAGGGGAGGAGGAGGGAGGATGAGGAGGAGACGAGGAGGAGAAGGAGGGAGGAGGGAGGACGAGGAGGAGGACGAGGAGGTCGAGGAGGAGGACGAGGAGGACGAGGAGGAAGAGGAGGAGGAGGAGGAGGAGGAGAAGGAGTGAGGAGGGAGGAGGGAGGAGGGAGGAGGAAGGAGGAGGAGGCAGGTTGCAGGAGGCAGGAGGCAGGAGGGAGGAGGGAGGAGGGAGGAGGGAGGAGGAGACTGAGGAGGAGGCGGAGGAGCAGGAGGAGGAGGGAGGAGGAGGGTGGAGGAGGAGGTGAGAAGCCCCGCCGCCGTTGGGATGACCTGCTCCGTCTCGCTCCCCCCCAGGCGCGCCGTCGACACGTGGTCAGGGGAGTGCCTTCTGCGAACAAGTCGAGGCGGGAGGGTTTTCGCCGCTTTCGGCCCCTGTGGGCCCTCACAGAGCCCCTTGAGCGTGCAGAAACGCCCCAGGAGGAAGCCACGGTCCCGGGGAAAGGGTCGGGACTTCCCGGGGCTCCAGGGCAAACCAGAACAGGACATCGCATGTCTGGTCCACGTGGGCAGAGGGCTGTGGCTGGATCGAGGACCGCGTGGAGGACGCAGAGAAATCGGGGTCGTCTTTGCCGACATGGGCGCGTAAGCTCCCCGCGTCAGCTTTCGCGTGAGCGCCCTCGTCTCCAATTGTGGCGAGTCGCGCTGGCGGCCTGCGTAAGCCGCCGCGTAAGGTCGCTCTGTCATCTCGCGTAAGGACCTTTTCTTGTCGTCGCCCATGTGGACAAGGGAGGGACTCGGCCAGGCGAAACCCAGCCAGGCTGCACCCGGCCAGCTGAATCCGGCCAGGCTGAATTCGGCCCGGGCCGCGTTCAGCCTGGCCGAACTCAGCTGGCCGAGTTCAGCCTGGCCGAGTTCAGCCAAGTTGGTCCAACTGTCCGAGTTCAGCCAAATTTGTCATGGCCGCGTGTAGTGTCTGCCATGTGGGGGTTCCTTCCGGGGCCCCCCTTTGTAGCAGGTGGTCAGTGACGGATGAATACGACGAGTAGGTCGAGAAGGAACAGTAAGGATAAGCAGCAACAGCATCATGACGACGAAGACAGCGACGAGGGGGGCGGCGACGGCGAACACAACGAGCAGGAGGGCGAGGGGGAGGAGGAGGAGGAGGAGGAGGAGGAGCTGGAGCAGGAGCAGGAGGAAGAGGAGGACCAGTGCAAACCCAAGATTCATCAACGATATTGCAGTAAACCCTCCCTCCAATTGCCCTCTTCATACGTCCCTACAAGGATTCATTTTCACTGAACGAAGTACCCCGTTCGAAGGCAATCGTTTGAAAACCCTGAACTGTGCCACAACACCATTCCTGGGACTTCAGCACCGCGATGCACCGTTACTTTTGCGTCTTGGCGACCCTGAATCGGGCCAGCACGCCACGTCTTGAACTTCAGCACCACGTGCCAAGATTTGCGCCCTGACAGTCCGACACCGTGCCAACACACCATTTCTGGGAGGTTAACCATGAGCATCCTTCAAACTGGCGTAACTGTTTGAAACGGGCGTCAGCGGCGGGCAGGCGAGAGCCCCATTTCGACAACCACCCGACCTCCATCCGTGAAGCTCCTTGCAATTGTTTCACGGCGGATATGCGCGGCGGCAGGTCGAGAGCCCCATTTCGACAACCGCCCGCCCGCCATCCGCGAAGCTGCTGCAGCTTTCCAGCTCAAGCATCAAAAGTGGCGAGGAAGCATCAGGCGAACCGCCCGTCCAGCCCTTTAAACCGTACTCGGGGTGCGACAGGGAGGAGCTCATGTATAAGGAAAAGGAATGGAGGAGGAGGAGGAGGAGGAGGAGGAGGAGGAGGAGGCGGATTCGCAAGACAGCGCGCGCACGCATCCCACCCCCACTCATCAGGACTGCGGGGGTTGGGATGCGCAGGTGCGCCCTCGCGCTGCCCAGGTCCGCCCCCGTCTGCGCCTGAAGCGGGAACCTCCTCGCCTCTGCGCCCCCGCGCGGCCTTCTTCGGCGTGGGGAGGCGCCATGCGTCGCATCTGCGGGGGTGCCTCGCCCCCCGTCCGAAGCACATTATGATTCGACCTTGTCCCCCGATTCGATGCTGACTGATCCTGCCTCCTCCTCCTCCTCCTCCTCCTCCTCCCTCCTCCTCCTCCTCCTCTTCCTGGGCACCTCCTCCCCCCTCTGCGTCCCTCCTCCCCCCCTCCCCCCTCGTCCCCTTTACCCCTCCTCCCGCTCCCCCCTCCCCCTCTTCCTCCCCCCATCCTCCGCCCCCTGCGTCGTCGCCGCCGTCGGTCGTGTCGCTGCGGGCGTCCCGTTGGTGATCTGTCGCCGTCGCCATCCTGGCCGCCGCCGCCGTCGCCGCTTGTGGCTGCTTGTTCCCAACCATCCTGTGGTGTTGGGTCCTCGTTTTGAAGAGACGGTGCCCCGCGTTCCTCCTCCCGCTGCCCCCTCCCCCCTCCTCCCATCATCATCACCATCCTCATCATGCTCATCATCATGAGCATCGTCATCATCATCATCCACATCGTGGTTGTCGGTCATCATCATCACCATCATCATCATCATCATCATCATCATCATCATCATCATCATCATCATCATCATCATCGGCACACCCCTCACACGTTTCGTGGCCCCATAGGGAGCTCCACCGAAAGCCCAAATGGCTGCGTCCGCATGCCGCCGCCACCCAATTTCGGCACACCCCTCACACGTTTCGTGGCCCCATAGGGAGCTCCACCGAAGGCCCAAATGGCTGCGTCCGCATGCCGCCGCCACCCAATTGTTGTCGCTTCGCGAATCCCCACCAGCCCATCCAGAAACGATGCCCAGAGGAATTGCCTCGATCAGAGAAGTGGGCAGCACACAGAGGAAGCCATTATGAGACATCTTGGGATATCTTGAGCCATCTTGGAGGTCATTTTGGGCTCTCCCAGACGCTCTTGGAGTCATCTTAATCCGTGCCCCCCCCCAAGAGGCCTCCATGTGGCTAAAACCTGTGTAGAATCAATGATTAGGCATTCTCGCCGAGGCCTCTTGGAGCATCTTGGGTGCATCTTGGGGGGGGGCTCTTGGGGCCTCTTGGGGGTCTCTTGGGGGCCTCCGGGGGGCCTCTTGGGGGCCTCTTGGGGCCATTTTGGGGCCATCTTGGGACCTCTTGGGGCTTCCTGGGCGCTTCTTGGGGCCATCTTGGAGGGAGTCGATCAAACAAGAGGGGGGGGTGAATTAGCGTCCCCCCTCGGAAGCCCCTAAAATCGCCTCTTGGACCCCTCTTGGAACGCTCTTGGAGTGCTCTTGGGCGCTCTTGGGGCCGTCTTGGGGCTCTTTTGGGGCTCTCTTGGGGCCCTCTTGGGCCATCTTGGAGCCATCTCCAGGCCTCGGATGGCCATCGGAAGCGAAAAGGCGAGAAAGCAAAAATCATTGATTTTCCTTAGGTTTTGGGACGATTTTGGCCTCTTCGGGGCCTCCTTGGGGAGCTGTTTGGCCACTTGGAGTTATCTTGGGGCCGTCTTTGGGCTTCTTGGAACCATCTTAGGAGCCATCTCGAGCGATCTTGCGCTATCTTGAGCCATCTTGGAGCTCATCTTGGGTTCTCTGAGGCGCTCTTGGAGCCGTCTTGGGCCATCTGGGACGCTCTAACTACCAGCGGCCCCCCCCGTCCAGGTCCAGGGGAGGGGGTAGGGGGAGGGGTAAACCCCTCCCCAAGGGGGAAGAGGGAGGGGTGGAAGAGGATCTGCTCTAGACCACCTACGCCCAGAGGGCTGGTGGGATTTTGGCACACCCCTTACACGTTTCGTGGCCCCATAGGGAGCTCCATCTAAGGCCCAAATGGCTGCGTCCGCATGCCGCCGCCACCCCATTTTTGGCACACCCCTTACACGCTTCGTGGCCCCATGGGGAGCTCCACCGAAGGCCCACATGGCTGCGTCCGCATGCCGCCGCCGCCCAATTTTGGCACACCCCTCACACGTTTCGTGGGCCCATGGGGAGCTCCATCTAAGGCCCAAATTGCTGCGTCCGCATGCCGCCGCCACCCCATATTTGGCACACCCCTTACACGTTTCGTGGCCCCATGGGGAGCTCCACCGAAGGCCCAAATGGTTGCGTCCGCATGCCGCCGCCGCCCAATTTTTGCACACCCCTCACTCGATTCGTGGCCCCATAGGGAACCCCATCTAAGGCCCAAATGGCTGCGTCCGCATGCCGCCGCCGCCCCATATTTGGCACACCCCTTACACGTTTCGTGGTTGGCTGGAGCTCTACGTGCTGCTCTCGCGCGCCACGCGCCACGAGGATCTCCTGCTCATGCGGGCGCCGCTCATCGAGTTCTTCCTGGCAGGGCCGCCGGAGGGCTTGCGGAAGCAGCTGGAGCAGTTTGCTGCGCGCACGAAGCGGTGCAGGAGGGAGGCGACGGCCCTCGCCAGAGAGCTGGGCTTCAGCGAGTTCATCCGCGAGGCCTGACCTGGGGAGCGGCCCCGCACGAGCCAGCGGCGCGCGCTGGTTGTCGCTGACGCTTGGATGACCCCAGCTCGTCGTCGGGATTTCTCGCCAGAGGATGACCGGCGCCTGTCGGGGGATTTCACCCAGATCGCGCCATTTTCGCACGCCTCGCCACGCAGCGCGGGGGCGCTATCCGTTGACTCAGAGTCGCAGTGGACAACCCCCGCGCGTCGATGGGATTCCCTCGGGATGACCAGACCGCGTCGGCGAGGACTTCCCAGGCACTTTCGTGCGGCGCCGCCTGCGCGCTGCATTCTGCGTGGCTCGCTGTCGGTCTGGAGGCAAAAACGTCTCCCCTCGTCTCTCGCTCCTCCTGCTTCCCATCGCTTCTTGACCGCGCGCTTCCCCGTCTCGTTTCTGCCGCTGCTGACCTGCCTTCGACATCTACACGGTGTCTCCGTCACCTCTTCCTGCATGCCCAGTAACAGGTCTCATGACGCGATGATGATACTGATGTTTTGGCTCGCCCCAGTGAGCTCTCCTCCTCCGCTCGCCACCTCCTGCCCGCGCTGCCCTGTGCCTCGTCCATGCAGTGGCGCGGTGCCTATGAGAAGAGGGGCCTAGTTTGCGTGCCCCCTCCTTCGTCTCATATCCGTGCGGTACTCGCAGCTGCATATGGTTGGGTCCTTCGCCAGGCTAATTTTTCTCTGTCTGGACTTCGTGCCCCTTCGTGGGCGTGCGCGACGTCAACCTAGAATCCTAGAGTCCTCGCCCACCTCCCCTCGCCCCCCCCCATCCCCCTGGGGACCCCCGCAGGAGGTGCAGAACACGTGGAACACGTTCCTGCGCTCCGCCGAGTCGCGCGAGGCGGCCGGGGAGGCCACATGCGCCGTCGTCGTCGTCGTCGTCGTCGTCGTCGTCGTGGTCCCGTCGGCAGAGGGTCGATTGCTTGCTGCTCAGGACGTATGGAAGCTACAATCGGACACCGCTCCTGGAATTGTTGAGTTGAGCAGTCGTCGTATACCTTCGGCGAGCTGATCTTTTCAGTACTGGCACGTTTCCTTCATTTCGGCCTCCGTTGTCTGTCGTTGGTCCCCCGGGCCATCAAGACAGGATCCAGGACGCAACGCTACCCCAGGGGAAGGGGTGGATCGGGACCTCTCGGGCCGCGCGTAGGAAAAGCCACATCGTCGGAAATTTGGGGTCGTCGTCGTCCTCCTCCCTTACCCTCCTCCCCTTCTCCTTCGTCTTCCTCCTCCACAGCTGCAGTCGACCATCTGATCAAGAAACCTCTTCCCGGAAGCTGGGCCAGCGTTTCGTCACAAACTTGCCTGAAAGCTGGCCCCGCTATTCAAATGAAGCTCCTGGGAGGCTGGCCCGGGTTTCTTAGTTCCCAGCGGTATTGATCACAGTTTCGGTTGTAAGCACTGTTTGCTAGCATGGACCCGAACGGGTGTGGTTTTAGCAAGATTTGCAATGCAGATTATATGGGGCAACACCTGGGGTGCAATCTAGGTGACGTGATACAATGTACGCGGTGCAGTATATATGTGTATATATATATATATATATATATATATATATATATATATATTATATATATGGACATAGCCATATATATAGTATGGCTACATATCTGTGGTGCGAGCTATGGTATGCAACTCATGCTGTTCAATCTATCGTGCGACGTATACTTGATGTGCACTATGTCGTGCGATCTCTGTTGTGCCAGATGTATGTGCATTATTATATATATATATATTATATATATATATATATATATATATATATATATATATCCGTAAGGGCTTCGCCCCCTGCCGCCGGCCCCCTCTCTCGGAGAATGGGCCATGGAAGAGCTAAGTCATGAGGCCTTGGCGCTGTCGTGAACCAGTATCGAAACTTCATGCGAAGCCGATTCGCAATCAGCAAAACCAACTGATCACAAGAGGGGTTACCACACCTGGCGATTGGTAAGACGTGTATGGTTTACGGGCTTGGTTACCACACCTTGCGATTAAAGGGCCGAGGGAGTTCTCGCAGTTTGGGTTACCACGCCTTGCGATGGATGTGCGTGAAGGGTGGCACCGAATTTCAGAAATGTAGCAAATCCCATGTGTTTTTGGACCCTGACCCCGCGGATCTGCGTAAGGGGTGGCGACGAATTTCAGAAATGTGGCAAATCCCCTGTGTTTTTGAACCCTGACCCCGCGGATCTGCGTGAGGGGTGGCACCGAATTTCAGAAATGTGGCAAATCCCTGTGTTTTTGGACCCTGGCCCCGCGGATCTGCGTGAGGGGTGGCACCGAATTTCAGAAATGTGGCAAATCCCATGTGTTTTTGGACCCTGACCCCGCGGATCTGCGTGAGGGGTGGCACCGAATTTCAGAAATGTGGCAAATCCCTGTGTTTTTGGACCCTGACCCCGCGGATCTGCGTGAGGGGTGGCACCGAATTTCAGAAATGTGGCAAATCCCATGTGTTTTTGGACCCTGACCCCGCGGATCTGCATGAGGGGTGGCACCGAATTTCACAAATGTGGCAAATCCCATGTGTTTTTGGGCCCTGACCCCGCGGATCTGCGTGAGGGGTGGCACCGAATTTCAGAAATGTGGCAAATCCCATATGTTTTTGGACCCTGACCCCGCGGATCTGCGTAAGGGGTGGCACCGAATTTCAGAAATGTGGCAAATCCCATGTGTTTTTGGACCCTGACCCAGCGGATCTGCGTGAGGGGTGAGGATTTCAAGCCCCCCCAGCAATTCAGACAACGCGCCCAGGGGGTGCTAAAAATCCTGTTTGGGCCTCCCCCCCCCTCGCGCGGTCAATCAACTAGTTATCGTAACCAGCAATAAGTCAACTAGTTACAGCAACCAGCAAGAAGCATAACTGCAACACTGGAAACTACAACCTACGACTGGTACAGGAAACTGCGAATCACGGGCCTACAGCCTGGTGGCCCCACAAGGGGGCCGGCGGATATATATATATATATATATTATATATATATATATATATATATATATATGTATCCGTATCCATTTTGGCTCAAGCCATTTTGGCTCAAGCCATTTTGGCTCAAGCCTGATGGCCCCGCAAGGGGCCCGCGGTCGAGCGACCGCGGGCAGCCGCCCTCGCATAGGCCTTCTTGCTCCCGGGCGGTCGGTCTCTCCCCTCGCGCCGTGCGATAGGCGCCGGGCTGCTGGGCGGCGAGCTGGGGACCGTGCTGCAGGCGCCGCGGCGGCGCTTGTGCGCGCGAGAGGCGCACCGCGCCTGCGGGGCGTGCCGCGGACCGTGGCACCCACGGGACGTTGCGGCCTCCGTCGACGATGGCCGAGGCCTCCCCCGCAGCCCCGGAGGGTTCCTGGCAGCGGATCTGGGTCCCCAAGGGCATGGCAGTCTGGCTTGGGCCCATCCCAGGTGCCGCGGGCTGCCCTGTCGCACCTATCCCGGCGACAGGCGCAGGGAGTGGACGTGACGGCTCCGACGGCGACGGCGAGGGAGCCGGCGCACCCGCCACGCGCGGCAGCGCCGAGGGAGCGGAGGCGACGCGAGGCTGCGGCGCCGCCGTGCAGCATCCGCCGACGCTCCCCACATCGCTCGCTGGTGGCAGCCTGCCGCCTCTGCCATCGGTGCCAGACTTCCCGAAGCTCGATGGCGATGCCACTGGCGACGTGAAGGTTGGCGTGCGCTTCAACCCAGAGGTGGAGTGCAAGCAGTGCTCAGCGGCGGCGCCGGCGGAGGCGCCTGCAGCTGCGACCGCACGTGGTGCTCCTGCGCGCGAGGGCGCCGGGAGCAGTCAGGAAGTTCTTCAGCATGATGGTGCCGAGAACCTGGCCGAATGCGATGAGCTCACCTTCGGCGCCGCCTCGGACCTATTGGCCCAACTCGATGCCGATGGTGCCGCCCATCTTCCACTTTTTCTCCGGGATTCGCGCGAGGTGACCATGGAGTCCAGCTACGACCCGCTGGTCCTCACGGCCGAGCCGAGCACGCAGTTCCGGAGCCTCTTGCGGCATGCCGTGGGTGTGTCGCGCCAGGCTGGTCTCGCTGTCGAGCCCAAGAGTCTGGTGATGTGCATGCTGAGGGAAGGCGTCATTGAAGTGGCCTCTGCCGCGAAAAAGGCAACTTTCCAGAGCATTTTGGAGCAGGCAGCGCCCGCGTCCTTCGTCTTCATCTCGGTCCAGACGACCAGTGATGCCTGAGTTTTCAGCCTGCCTGGTCATGCCAATAAATTAATGGCCCGAGTTTGTCGTAACGGCCCGCGGCCGTTCGGAGCGCAGGATTGCCCACTGGCCGCCCTGCTGCCCATGCTCGCCGTGCCATGGCAGCGACGCGTCCACTGACCAGCGCTGCTCCTGGCCTCCCATTGCTTTTACTAGTTGCCCAGCTGTGTGGCCGGATTCGGCTCGGATTGCTGGTGCCGGGTCGCCCTGGCGGCCGTCGTCGTCGCGGCTGGATTCGGCTTGTCTCGCTGGCGTCGGGTCGTCCCCCGTTGGCCCTCGTCGCCACGGACGGTGTAGTGCACTGCACGCGCCCGATGGCTTCCCACAAACGTGGATCGCCGTCAATGATACAAACGGGGTCGCCCCCGTTTTTGGCACGCACGCCTTTTTCGAAACTTGTCTTGAGACGCTTCGCGCAACCCTTGTTAAATAGATACTATATATATGTATATATGTATATATATCTATGCTTAGGTGTTGCAATGTACGTGGTGCAATACATGTTGTGCAACCTATGCAATGTAATCTATGGATTGCGCCCTAAGTGGTGCAATCCATGTGTTGCGATCAGTGGTGTGCAATCTTGGTTATGCAATCTATGATGTGTGATCTATGTGATGCAACCTAGGTGGAACAATCTATATGATGCCACCTATGTGTAACAACCTCGGTGGTGCAATACACGCGTTGCAACTTATGCGGTGCAGCCTATGTGGTGCAACCTAACTGGTGCGATCTATGGTGTGCACTATTTGTTGTGGTATCTTGGTGGTGCGATCTAGTTCGTGAGATCTATGCTGCGCAGCGTGTGTGGTGCAATCTATGTGTTGTCTGCGGTGCAACCTATGTGACGCAATCCTTGCGGTCCAATGTATGCGGTGCAATCTACTTTGACTGTCTTGATGTTGTCCTCTCCACTGCTCGTGCAAACATCCCACCCTCCCACCCGCAACTTGGTCGCAAGACCTCTTAAGTAGCTACCAAATGGCACCTGGCAGCGACACCGACGCCTACGACGACAGCGACGACGACGACGCTGACGACGACTACGACGACTCCGACGACTTCGACGACTTCGACGACGACGACGACAACGACGACCACGACAGCGACGACGACGACGACGACGATGACGCCGACGCTGACGACAACAACGACGACGACGACGACGCCGACGACGACGACGACGACAACGAAAACGACGACGACGACTGCGACGAAATAGGAAGGACGATGACGAGACACCGACGACGGACGACGGCGACGACGAGGGAGGAGGAAGGACGACCACGGCGACAGCGACAACGGAAACGACGACGACGCCAAACAGGACGACGGCTGCGACGACGAGGAACGACAGACTGATCACGCCGACGACGATGACGGCGTCTTCGCGTCGGTGGTGAAGATTTTCGAAGGAATTCGACATGCGCGCGCGGCAGACGCGCGAGCGTGGCTCGCATAGTATTAGTTGACACGGATCGTGCCACCCCAGCACGCGCGCAAAGGCGTTCGAACGATTTCGCCACGCGCGCGCGAAGCCCCACTGGTAGCATGGTATGAAGATGTTTTAAGATTTCGCAAGGGCGCGCGCACGTTTTTCTTGACAGTCCGTGTTGCGGCACCATATGTTTTATATGTTTTTGGGACTCG